GCTTTCCTCGCCTTCTGAGCATCAGCACTATGGTTATTAACACTGGCTACTGAGAACTGCTCACATGCTTTTCACATACAAGCACTATCAGTCCAGACAAGACAGCGCCTGGAAGTCCCTAGTGATTTTAAACAAGACGTTGCAGAAAGAGTTCTGGAGCATGTGTTTCATGAGTTTCTGCTCCTTCCATGGGCTGGTTGGATTTTGTGTGGTTGGTTGGTTTGGCTTTGTTTCTAGTTCTCTCTCTCTCTCTCTCTCTCTCTCTCTCTCTCTCTCTCTCTCTCTCTCTCTCTCTCTCGTTTTCCATTTTTCCATAGGAGGAAAATGTTTCTATTTGTTCTTAAAGGCCATTCTTCTGTGTGTCCTTAAAAAGAATCAATTTTTTTTTCCTATATAGATTTTTGCTTCTAGTAGACAGAACAGTGCACTAAAGTACTTGAATATTCCTTTCTTCAAAAGTCTGGCTGCATAGGACAGCTTTTCTGCTGGGGGGGGGGGGAAGTGCACAGTATATAACATTTCACCAAAGTTTTCTCAAGCATAGAAAAGCAACAAATAAATGATCACTCTCAGGCATATAAGTTTGCCTCCTTGTAGAGGGAGGGAGGGATTCTGGCTGAGCTATTGACTTATTTCAAAGAAATGTGAGTAAGGGTCAGCTCTAAGCCTATAAAGCACTGTACTTGGTTACTCTTTTTTTTTTTTTTTTTTTTTTTTTGTGAAGAATTTTGAAAATGCCACTTACTGCTCTTAGGAAATGTTTTAAATCCAAAGAAGGCCAAAAGCCAAATCAGGTTTTCTTTTTTTTATGAACATTTAACAAGTTTATTTAAAAAAAAAAAGGGGGGGGGATAACATAGATTTAAACACAACTATTGAGACAGAAAAGCATAGGCAGAGGACAGTCTACAGCCAAGTGTGGGTTCCAGCTTCCCAAAACAGCCCAGATAAATGTTCCCTGATCTTCCTAACAACACCGTATGGTTTTATGGCAATGTGCTTTAAAAAAAAAAAATCTATTAGACTTGTCTTCAAGTATTGTGTTTTGGACAATTGTTCTAAAACAGATGATACTGTTTTAAATCCCGTGACTTTGGCTGATGTCACTGGGGCTAACAGTTTCTTAATCACTAAAACCATCCTACGGATTGAGTCCAGGACCACTTGCTGACGAGTTTAGTGTTTTTCAAGTAGGTACTTGAGTGTGGTAAACAGGCGGGCCATATAAACTGTTTATCACTGAGAATCGTGGCTGTAATACTGGGCATATTAAAAATTCAGCTAAGTTGTGGGCTTCAGAGGCAATCAACTAAAGCATTATTTCTGTGAAAAGTTCTACTGGGTGCACATTCAGGATGCCATTTCTCCTTCCATGACTCACGAAGTAGAGTTGTTTTTACATATCAAACAGTGACCCAAGAGCATGAGAACTGCTGAATTGTTCAAAAGTTACAGTACCTCCCCCCACCCCACCCCCGTAAAACTGCACTGCTTAGCCTCTTGAGGAATGTTGAGACTAGGAGGAAAGGAGCAGGAGGGGCCCAGCTTGGAAGTGACTTCTGTCTGGACCTTTTACAGATCAGAAATAGTGGCAAGTTCTCAAACAAACCTATCACCTTTTATATTACAGAGCTAGAGTAAAACAAGAGAAAAGATGCCTGTTAGAACTGTGATGCTGAAACTAGTGTTTCAACGTAATGTATCACAAATGTGGTAAATTATTGTTAAAGAATAAGGGAATCGGAGCTTTTGAGGGTAATAAAGTGTGATACACTTGTTTTTTTTATTTAAATGCTATTAATACAGATATTATACATGGACAATGTAATAACCTGTTGAACCCCAACTCAAAATGGAAAAGTATAGCTCAGTGGTAGAGTGCTTGCCTAGACTATATGCGGCCCTAGGTTTGACCCATATCACCACAGAAGAGGAAGGGAAGGAAGGAGGAGGATGGGCAGTATATTGACACAGTACTTCATCCTTCATTTTCTAAGAAAAAACCTTCACAGTCAACATTGAATTTGTTTCCCTGTGCCAGTCTTCATTCTTTCCTCCAAGTAAGCACTTACTGTAACTGGTGGATTATAATTCTATCTCATACGAACAAAATTTAATTTTAACAGTTGATTTACTGTTGCTATGCATCTTATTTTGCAGTTTTCATTATTCTCCCCAATGTTCTATTTTAGAGAGTTGAAATACTGGCTACATAGATGTAGATACTGGCACTTATCTGTAGACTCTCTTACACACTTGAAGCTGCTCTGCTGCTTAGGATATGGGATCACCTTCACTTTGTCTCTGTGCCATGCGGGCATTCTTGAGTCCTTGTGTATGGCACTAGACTCGGTGCCAAGTCATAAAGTTGGCACACACTGAACTTTGTTAGATTTTGGAAAATAACTCTCCAAAGTCAATGTATCAGTTTTAGATGATGAGTTTCCCTTGACATAGCTTCACAGTACTTAAAGTGGGGAATATGGTTCTTTTTTAAAAGTTTTGTAGGCCAAGGCTTGCGGAGAAGGAACTTATTTGGGGCTCATAAAAGTAATCAGAATTAGGACCTGAATTAAATGTGTTATGTGTCCTGCTATGTGTCCCGCTGTCTTTTACATATTTTTAAGTTGACAGTGAGTTTCAAATGCAGTAATGGAAGTTGTTTCTGGACACTTGGTTCACAAAAATGGCCTGAGTTTTACACATAGATATTCAATTACATATCATGATCCAGATACTGCACTAGAACTAAAGATCCTCAGTGCAGAAGAAAAGCCTGACGATATCCCAGCAAAGTGTGTCTGGTAGTGTTCAGGAAGGGCCCAATGAACCAAGAGCAACTACTGTAGAAGGAATGGAGAAGGCCTTTGGGATCTGGGTTCTTAGCAGTCTCTTTCATAAGTTCCTCTTGCCCTGTAGTCCATACATAAGTTCAAGCTTCCAAGTCCAAAAGCATCTTGACCTTGTGGGCTAGGACAAGGCCTGGCTGTGGTAGTACTCTCTGAAGCAAGCATACCTAGTGAAATCCTGTCTGTCACTAGTTTCCTGAGTGAGCCTTTCCCAGGAGACACACGCCTCTTCAGCTGTCCCCAAAGACAGATCTTTTGCTTGTTTGTGCTTTGCCTCTAGCCTCTTGGCACAGTCTGTTTTTATGACTTCATCGCAGCAGGAAGAGCTGATGACCTTTTTGAGGCACAGAGTGTGTGGTTTTTACATCAGTGGCCCTTGTAGGCCACGGGAATGGAAAATTAAAAATACTTTAAGATAAAATGTGTCATTGGTAAGTTTGAATCTGTTTTGTCTCAGGAAATCTCCCACATTCTCTTGAGTCAGGGTTCCCAGGGGTGCTCTTGAGAGAGTTGTAGTTACATCTTCTGGCTTGGGGAGCCAGGTACAAAAGGCTTAGGGTATTTGAGATCTCAAGAATTGAAGACTAGAGAGATGGCTTGGTGGTTAAGAGCACTGACTGTTCTTTCAAAGGACCCAGGTTCAATTCCCAGCATCCGTATGGCATCTCACAACTGTCTATAACTCTAGCTCCAGGGGATCCGACACCCTCCCACAGACATGTGTACATAAAATAAAAATAAATAAATAAAACATTAAAAAAAGAAAAGAAAAAGCATAGATCTTCAGATCCTTGGCCTGAAATTTTCACAGAACCTTTTAGCGGTTTCATATATTTTCTTATAATTTAGGCATAACATCTTTCATTATTTCCTTTATTTTTGAGATTATAATTGTCATTTCTTCCTTCCCTTTCCAACCTCCTGTTATATTTTCAAATTCATGGCCTCTTTTTACAGTAATTGTTCTTAAATATATGTGTATTTCTCTGTTTGTATGTGTATGCTCCTAAATACATAACTACAACCTGCATGGTCTGTGTAATGTTACTTGTGTGTATGGTTTCATGGTTGATCATTTGGTATTGGATAACCAATCAGTGTGTTCTTCCCCTTGGCATTCTATCCAAACTCAGCATTCAGTACTTGTCTGTAGTCCATTGTGTAGGGTTGAATCCTCCATAGTCTTTCCCTGTCCACATTAGCTTGTCTGTTAGTGTCCTTGTTCAGCTCATGTCTAGACAGTCATGTTGGTGAGGCTTTATAAAAGTGTGTATCTTCTGACATCCTAGGAGACTTAATCTCACAATAGATTCCTTCATCTTCTGGCTCTTAGAGTCATTGCACCCCATCTTTGTCAGTGTTCCTGAGCCTTAAGTGTGGGAGTTGTTCTGTAGATTGATAGTTGTTTTGTAGGAAGAGGCTCCACAACTCTGCATTTTGGTTGGTTATAATTTTCTATAATGGCCTTTGTCTCTTGCAAAGAAGAGTTTTCTTGATGAGGGGTTGGTACTACACTTGGTACTACACTTATCTATGGGTCTAAGGACAGATATTTAGAACATAGGATTATTCTGATTTTAGTAAAGTGGGGTGGTTGTAGATTTCTCCCCCTAGATCCATGATTTCAGCATGTGTAGCTGGCTGTTTCCCTCTTGTTGAGTGGTTAAGTCCATTTAGTGAACTTTTGGTAAATATTGTATGCGTGTCACTATTGCACTGTTGAGGTTATCACACTATACTGGCTGTTGTGGTCCGTAGGTGTCATAGCTTGGTAGAACTGTTGGATACTTTGCTTCTTTGAATGATTGTATGGCACATTCTAGTACCTCCTCCATAGAGAAGACTTGTATGTCAGTTTCATCTTAGGGTTCTCTGGCCCTATAGATATAACATCTTGATGGCAGACATTTAAACTCTTAGTTTTCATAGCCTCCCCAGCTTCCTGCCTGAGACATTCCTGATTTCTTTTGGTTAGTCAGAAATACACCTGCTTCCTAGTAAATACCTGTAAAATGTACTGTTAGTTAATGATAATTTTTTTTTTTCCTGTGTGAATAAAAGTCTGTCAGCTCCGTGTTGCAGTGGTGGAGTGTCAGAGTCCATGGCCTGCTGGCTTTCTTGTTATGACCTTGCCTTATGCTTCCTTTCCAGGTTGTAGTGCTTTTGTCCACAAAGGCTGCAGAGAAAATCTAGCCTCCTGTGCAAAGGTCAAAATGAAGGTAAGCTATTTCTAGCTATTAGAATGTGTGAGATCCAGTGGTTTAAAATAGTAAAATATCCTCCCCCCCTCCCCACCCCCATCTCCTGTTAGAATTTAGATTGTGGTAGATTTGTTTGCTTTCTTGCTTTAATCATTTGGTGCCAATTTTGAGACCAAATTAATCTAAAGATAATTGTTCAGCCCCTTTCTTGACTAACAACACAAGAATTTGAGACTTTGAATAAAAGAAGTGTTGAGCTGGAGACTCACACTTGTGATCCCAGCAGTTGGGAGGCTGATGCAGGATGTTTTCCTTGGTTTGATATTAGCCATTGTACCAGAGTGAAAACCTGTCTCAAAAATATTTTTAAAGAAAATGGAATGTTTTTTAGAATTTCCATATATTAAACATTTCTCTGTGTTTCTGTTTAAACGATTGTCTTAAATAGCTCTGCAAATACACTCTGTGATTGAAATGGCTGGCTTGGCCATCTAGGAGCATGAGGGCAACCAGTGGAAATCAGAGGCCTTTGATATGTGATGGGCAGGTACAGGGGTCTACTACATTCAGGACCAACCTACATGGTCTTTTCTCCAAAGGTACATATGGATAGCAGGGATGACATAATACAAGAACAGGAAGTACCAATATTGGAGCCATACAAATTTGGAACTGTATTTTTAGGTAGCCTATGTGACTGATAGTGTTGTATTAGAGTCATACATAGAATGTTTTTCCTTAGAGAATTTCCAGATATGTCCACACAGATGTTCATCAGTAATCACATTACCTAGTGCAGTGGTCTCAGTCTTGAGTGTGTATCAAAATCATCTCAAGATCTTACTCAAAAAAATTTGCTGCTATAATCCCCCAAAAGGATTCCCAGTTCTGGAGTGGACTGAAGAGTTTGCTTTTCCAAGGAATACCCAAATGACCCTCAGACCTCATTCTGGGCCTTAAGGAAGGTGGCTAACTTCTGTGTCTGAATTTTCTGAGCTCAGTGATGTATATTTTGACTCATGCCACACTTTAAATTCTTAGTTTGTGCAAAGACTTAGAAATTACATTTTATACCAACTTTGGTTTTTATTTTCTCCCCCCAAAATTGGAAGCTCCTACAATCCTCTCAGCTCACTGGTGTTACCTGTTACCCAGCAGTCCCAGTTCCCCTCATCATACTCTTTTTCCATTTTTTCATAGTGTTATGAATCTTCTTAGATGATTTACTCTCCCCCCCCCCTTCATCTGTACCTTACTCCCACTAGAACATAAGCAGGAAGGCAGGAATCTTTGATTGAGTACCTGGGATGGGGTCAGGTATATGATAGATTCTTAAAATTTGAAAGATTGTATGTCAGAGAGTAGTCAGTGGGGGCTCACTGGATACTGGTGGAAGGAAAAAGCATCCCAAATGTTCACTTGTGCTTTCATCTCCTCTCCTGCTTCTGCCATTTACCATCTGTCGGATCACTCGGTCAATAAAGTTCATGGTCTCTGATAAGACTGAGTGCATTGGGTTCTGTAGAACAGTGATGATACAGAGAATAACATCTCTCTTGTATATGGTTATAATATCTATGGAAGAATTCATTTTAAATTAGAAGTGATCTATTTCCTCCTAGTGATGTGTTTCAGAGTAAAGGTTTCAGTTTGTGATTTCTCAAACTGTGTGTGTGTGTGTGTGTGTGTATACCTCACAAAACTTAATAAAAATTAGCATTCTATCTAAGAATGTAACAGTTCACAAATGCTAGTCACCAAAGAAATAGAATGAACAAGGCACAGATGATTCTCTTTTGGATGTGGACAGCCAATTTCTACAGGTCAGGAAAAGCATTAGTGGCTATAGCAAAGAGAGAGTACTTGGGTCATCTGGAAATGGAAGAATGCCATGCCTACATAGATGACAAAAAAACATTCCTGGGATGGGGGTGGGGACATAACCAGACATTTACAGTGTTTGGTGAGCCCAAAGGATGGCAAAGGGGGTGTTGGGTGGGCATGGCCATGGCCCAACATATTGTTCTTTTTTTACTCCAAGCTGCTAGAGATCTGATGGAGGATGAGTTGCCAGTGCAGTCTTCATGTATGTACCTTCTTTTCTCTTTAGCAGCCAAAAGGGAGCCTCCAGGCACATGATACATCATCGCTGCCTACAGTCATCATGAGAAACAAGTGTAAGTAGCCCAGCACACCTCTCAGAAGTGCACTCAGACTCTTTGTTCCAGACTTAATCTTTTTGTGAAGCTTGCTTGTTGAGGCTAGCCTAAGCTACCTGGAAAGATACTGTACCAATTTTGTAGTATATTAGGTCACTACTTTGTTCTGCCACATTCATTGACCAGTAACTTAGCATTGCACCGTCAAAACCTTCTTGACGATGTCTGTCTTAGTGTGTACATTAGTGGAAAGGGGAACTAAAAGCCCATGTGTGTGAGCACGTTACTCCCGTGCCGCTCAGTCTCCTCTTCAGCACCATCTCTGTCCATTTTTAGAGTTACTCTAGCTGTTGTATCAGAGCATATGTTGTGTTTTAATCATTTCCAACTGCTACCATAAATAACACTGTGGTAATTATCCTCAGAGTTGGCTCCATGGAAGTGCTGTGATTTCAGCATGTAGTTGAATCAATAACGTGCAGATTCTGAGACCCCCACCTAGACCTGTGAGTCAGAGACTATGGTAGAGCTTTGTGGTCTATGTTTCAATAGACACTGATTTTGATGCCCACTCAAGCCTGGAAGCTCTACTTATGCCTTATCTGTCTTATGTAGTTCCTAAGCACTTGAAAATGCTGCACCAATCTGCATACCACAGAGAATGAATTCTCTACACACATCCCATGTCTGGTCCTCATCCATCCTTGTATGGAGGCAGCCACTAGACTGACACCCACTTCAATCTATCATCCCACTTCCTTGAACAGTTTTAATCTTAAAACTCTTTTCTGTGAAGTTACCACCTGTTTCAGAAGTCTATTTTCTTTCCCATCAGATAAAATATCTTTTACAAGCAAGGTCCTTTGTGTGGATTGCCTCTGACCCTCAGAGATAACTTTCTTACTTATATTGATAGTAATTTGTAGAGTACTGGATTTTGTTATGAGACTTCCATTATTTAATGTACTGTAAAATCAGCCTCCATTAGCTTTTCTTATCTCCACCTTCTTGTTTTCACCCTATCCATCTGTAGTAGTACCCCATTTTGCCTTCAAGTCCCTGCCACTTTTTAATTTCATATGTGAAAACAGATAAGCCTTATTTTGTATTGTCTTACTAAAACATTTTCCTTCAAATAATATAATTTCATTCTTGGTTTTGGCTGCATAAAACTCCAGTATATCATATTTTCTTTTTCCATCCATGCACTGATAGTTATTTTTGGCTGATTCCATAACTTGACTATTGTGACTAGTGCAGCAGTAAACAGTGATGTATAGGCAGCCCTGTAGTAGCCTTCCTCTGATTCCTTTGGGTATACATCCATCAGTGGTATGGCTGGATCCTATGGGTATTCTACTTTTTAATCTGTAGAGACTTCATACTGATTTCCATGATGGCTGGCCTAAGTTATTCCTACCAGCAATATGATATAATTTTTTTCATTTGCTTCTTCACCATCCTTTGTAGATTTTATTCTCTTGAGAATAGTCATTCTAACTAGGATAAGATGGAATGTCAATGTTATAGTGATTAAGAGTACAAATTCTGGATCGGAAAATGGTTTAGTGTGTAAAATGCTTGTTGGACAAGCATAATGACCCAAGTTTGGGTTTGGATATATATGCAACAGTAGGTATGGGGAACAGAGATGGGCAGATAACTGGAGCTTGCTAGACATCCAGTCTAGCCAAAATGCTGGGCTACAGGTTCAGTGACAGACCCTCTTTCAAAAAAAAAAAGGTTTTAGGTTTTAGAAGCTATTGAGGAAAACATTCCATCCTAACATGAACTGTCATGGGCAAGCGCACTTACACAAACAAGAGTACAGTTGTGGATTCCAGTCTCATGGTGTTTGTGTCTTCTGCATCCTTTTAGGTACAAGTAGTTCTTTAGAACATTTAGGGCTCTGCATAATATTCTGGTTCTCCTCAATGATGCACACATACACACTTACACACACACACACACACACCCATGCCCCTGTCTGCGTCCTCACATAGTCTAAGAACTACTGTTTCTTCCTCTCTAACATTTTATCTGCTAACTAATCACCTTTCTAAAACACTTAGAATATGCTGTGCACTGGTAACCTTTAGCATATTCTCCAAGGAGCCCACAATATACTCCTTTGTGCTTCCTGCTTCAAGGCCCTGGTCATGTCTTAGCACACCCTCCCTGCTGTTCTATTATCTAACTAGAATTTAAATTAGATATCAATTATTGTGTTACTATTTTCTAAAGGTATCCTGTAATATTATAAAATTATACCAACCCCCATATCTTATTTCTCTTAGCTCTTAGCCCTCCTGGGGATAGACAGATAGAAAAATTTACATCTGTGGCAGGAGCTTACTAAGGAAAAATAATTTAGTGTTCATGTGTCAGTGTGACCACTTAGAGCTCCAGTTTCCTCTTTGATCATATTAAGGAAAAATACTCCATAATAACCAGGTATTTAAACAGTTACTAGTTTTTCTCCATCCATAAATTTAAGAAATTGATCAAAATACATGCATTCAAATAATGGGCAGGGGCTGGAGAGTTGACTCCATGGCCAGAAGCACTTGTTGCTCTTCCAGAGGACCTGATTTACATTTCCAGAGCTTCAACTGCTGTGGTGGCACATGCCTTTTAATCCCAGCACTTGGGTGGATCTCTGAGTTCAAGAATAGCCAAGGATATGAAGAAAGACCCCCGTCTTAAGTTTTTTCTTTTTTTAAAGAGCTGATTATTGAAAGCATTTTGTGTCCTTGTAGTGCCTTGAGTAAGTAGGTACTAGGGGTCTGGAAAGATGATGGTGCTTCAGTTCATGTCCTCTCTTCCTTGCAGCTTCACAACCCAAGGAGCGCCCTAGGTCTGCAGTTCTCTTGGCCGATGAGGCCACTGCTGTACCAGTGTTTACTAACAGACGGTCCCAGCAGAGTGTCTCCCTCTCTAAAAGTGTTTCCATACAGAACATCACTGGGTAAGTGGGTTTAAAGAGTCCACAGTTGACATGTGGGTGACAAGAACATAATAATCACTTTATTGACAAAAAAGAGAAGTGGGTGTATAAAATGATGGTATGGCATACAGTTGGATGATGAGGATGACATGGTTAGAAGTGTTTGACAGTGTGTCCTTCTTTTTGTCTCTAGAGTTGGCAATGATGAGAACATGTCAAACACCTGGAAATTTCTGTCTCATTCAACAGACTCACTGAATAAAATCTGCAAGGTCAATGAATCAACAGAATCACTTACTGATGAGGGTAAGAAGAAACTCTGGCATGTATTACTAAACCCCTGTCAAGATCTAGTACATCTGCTATCACACTATTAGCAAATAGCAGGGCCTGCTTTTTCCCTCCTCCCTGGAGAGAGTCTCTAAATTGCCTGTAAAGTATCTCCTGCAGTACCGAGCATTGGCCATCGCATCTATCCAGGTGTTGGCTTTCCATTAAAGGAAACATTGATTTTTTTTTTAACATAGGCATACTCAAGTATGAATGCTTTTCTTCCTCTAGACTTTGTACACATTCAGTTCTGTGTCTGTAATTGTAAGCCTACTCAGATAGGCATGTGCAGCATGTAAAGACAGCAGGATGTTTCAGGCTCCAGAGTCACATGGGAATTGTTTCAATCTTGTTAGATGTATGTATGTATGTATGCTTATTCCAAACCAGACTTGAATATAGAATGTTTCATTCCTAAACTTGACCATGATTCTGCCTAGTATCTGGTATGATCTCCTTGAGTATCCTCTACACTAAGACAGAGGATTTGTCTTACAAACTCTTTTCACCTGGAGGAAGATCCTGAGGTTGTTTTTTTTTTTTTTTTTTTTAATATGTTAAGGAGTAGGTACAGACATGAATGAAGGACAGCTGATGGGAGACTTTGAAAGTGACTCTAAACAGCTAGAAGCAGAGTCCTGGAGCCGAACAGTAGACAGCAAGTTCCTTAAACAGCAGAAGAAAGATGTGGTCAAGCGGCAGGAAGTGATTTATGGTGAGATGCTTCGATTATTTTGCTTATTTTTGTCCACACCATCTACACTTGCACGCAAGTGACAGTTGTTGAGAAGTAGAGATACTGTCCTACCTCTCATGGAGGGGACTTGAAAAGGAGTTGCCCTGTCCAGCATGTTTAAGTGGGTGATCGTTGGACTGTGGAAAATTAATTTTTGAATATGTAGCATCATAAAGGTTTCCATTAAAACCACTGAGGTATGGAGACATGATATTGCTTGTGTCCTTTTGTTCGTTTTGCCCTATAGTGTTCCATTCTGTTCAGTTTTTATTGCATTTAACAGTGTGTTTACATTTGCAAATGTACTTATAAAACAGTCTATAAAAGAGATGTCTTCTAAAAATGCATTTTAGTTCTTGAGCTACACTAGAAAGGCAAAATACCAGAAACACAGTAAATGGAAGGGACTGAATCTAATGAAGATTTCTCTGAAACCCATTTAAGACTGTCTGAATTCAGTCTACCTATCATTAGAAAAATGATGTTAGGTCAGGGAAAAACAAAGTAAGATGAGACTACTTAGGGAATGACAGCTATTTGCTTGGTTTTAAAGTCTCAGCTGAACTCTGAGCTAACCTTACAGGCTTAGCTGTGATCTCTGAAAGACCCTTGATCTCTCTTCTCCAGAGTTGATGCAGACAGAGTTACATCACATCCGCACACTCAAGATCATGAGTGACGTGTACAGCCGAGGGATGATGACAGACCTGCTATTTGAGCAGCAGATGGTAGAAAAGCTGTTCCCTTGTTTGGATGAACTGATCAGTATCCATAGCCAGTTCTTTCAGAGAATCCTAGAGCGGAAGAAGGAGTCTCTGGTGGATAAAAGTGAAAAGAACTTTCTTGTCAAGAGGATAGGGGATGTGCTTGTCAATCAGGTGAGCATCGGGAAGGCCGTGGGTCTTCTTATGCTTTGGAGTAGCAGAGAAGCTTTGTGATTCTGGACCCCTGCTTGTATATCTCAGCTTTACGGTTTGTCTTTGGAGCCTTAACAAATTGAGGCAGTCTAACTCTTGATTTCCTTTTCTGTAAAATAATGACAGAAAGGTTTCTCTCCCCCTTTTTTTTTTTTATTTAGAAAGTTAGCTATGTGTATAATAAAGTATATAGAAAAGGTTTTTCTTCCTCTAAATCCACACAATCATCAAACAGTACTGTTTAAGAAGTAAAAGGACATTTGTCAGAGCCTTCAGCTTTCCCTATAGCCCATCTGAAAAGGATCCCATCTACCTGAAAGACCAGCTAAAGCTCAGGCAGTTGTCCAGTAGGCTGTCTGTGAAACACTTTATGTGTTACCTTTTTCTGACATGATTTTATTTCATTCCCATTCCGAAGAAACTTAGAAAAGTATTTTTATATTTTTAGATGTATGTCATGAGCAGCTTTTGATGTTTGTTTTTAAATGTTTTTGAAAAAGGAAACGTTGCTAGTAAAACATTAACAGACAAGAATATCACACACATGTGACTAGAGCTTTCTTCCTCATCAGATCCCTGCTTCTGTGTAGAGGCAGAGACTTAATTGCTGGAATGGTTGAATGAGAATTGGGTTGGAGCTGGGGGTAGTACTCAGGATTGAACCAAGGGATTTTCATATGTGGCAGGTCAGCACCTTACCACTGAGCTACATCCCCTGCTTGTTTTTGCATTTATTCTAAGGCTGTTTCAACCTCCCAAAGAACTGGGATTACAGGCTTGGCTGAGATCTTGTCCTTCCCTAGTATCCTTGAGCCCACATCCCTTGCTTGATAATTTATCAGTGTATCTGCTCATTTTAAAAGGATTTGCTATCTATTAAATGCCAGGGGTAAACTGCACAGCTGAATATTACATTTACATAGCTTTCTGCCTTAAGGAAATCTGTGAAAAGCAGACATGATGCAAATAAATGGATATTCCATGTGAGATACTTGCATTTGGCAAGTGCAGATTGAATAGTCCTATAAAATGAACCTAATGTGAGGTCCTACAAGTGAAGAACCATCTTCCCCAAGCATCTCTCCTTCAAACATTCTCTCTCTCTCTCTCTCTCTCTCTATATATATATATATATATATATATGTATGTATGTATGTATGTATGTATATCCATCCTTCACACACTCACACACACACACTTGCTTTCTTGCTCTCTCCCCCACCCCTCCTTTTCAGGACCTATATAGATACTACGTCTTGACTTATAGTCTTAAAGTCTTTGATGCTGATGCTGAGATTGAAACTCTAGTCCCATGGTGCTCATGTGTTCTCTGTATGATGCTATTGGACTCAACCTTGTAGGACACTTAGTTTGTGGTAGTGGTTCTGCTTCTGTCTCTCCATTGTGAGTGAAGAAACCCACATAAGAAATCACTGGGTCCTCTGAGACCTCAGTGTCTAACCTTTTGATAAAGTGCCAAACAGTTTGCCAGGGCTGTTCTACTATTTAATCTTTTTCGGGGGAGTTTATTAGGAATCACCCTTGGTTTTTACAACAAGACTGGAAACTTTATAAAGAATTATACCCTGAGTTGTGTAACTCCTATTCTCTTTACTGGGCAGTTTTCAGGTGAGAATGCAGAGCGCTTGAAGAAGACATATGGCAAGTTCTGTGGACATCACAACCAGTCTGTCAACTACTTCAAAGACCTCTATACAAAGGATAAGCGTTTCCAAGCCTTTGTGAAGGTACTGACCAGAAACAGTCCCTCCTGATCATGGTCAGGAACATAAGCCCCCCATTTTGGCTAGAGCCACCTTCCTCACTTAGTGACTAACAGTGAATTCACTCCCTTGCAGAAGAAGATGAGCAGTTCAGTGGTAAGAAGACTCGGAATCCCTGAGTGCATATTACTTGTAACTCAGAGGATCACCAAGTACCCAGTTTTATTCCAGAGGATACTGCAATGTACCAAAGGTGAGTCTGCCTGTGAACACAGATCCAGATAGCCCTGGAAACCACAGTAGCAGAGCTCTGCCATGCTCTAGCAGACCTACCAGAATGCCTATGCCTAGCTCAGTGACTTATTTTAGGGCATAGATTCTCACTCTGGCCCAGGTTGACCTCAAATTCACAGCAGTTCTTCCTCCACCTCCCCCAGAGTGCTGAGATTACAGATGTATCTCATCTTGTAAACATCTCTTCATGACTATTTATTTTGTTGCTGTTTTTAGTTTTTTGAGCCCATGTTTCACTGTGTAGCCCAGTCTAGTCTCAAACTCACAATCCTTCTGCTCAACCTCCCAGTGCTGGGATTACAGGGAAATAAAATTTAACCTACCTAATACATGGTTTTCTTGAAAGAAAGGAAACTGGCCCAGTGGTACAGTTGTGTGGCTTCAGCTACTTGGGGCTAAGGCAGATGAGATGCAAATTTAAGGCCTGCTAGGACCTAGAGCAGATTCAAGTCCAACCTGGGCATCCAGTGAGGCCTGTATCAAGGCAAAACCTGAGAAGCAAGCTGGAGGCACAGCTGAGTGCTATAGTGCTTCCTGGATATACACAAGGCCCTGGATTAAATTCCTGGAAATGCAGGCTGGAGGTATAGCCCAGTGCTAGATTACTCCCCAGATAGGCACAAGGCCCTGGATTCAATTCCTGGAATACCACAACAATTAAATCACTACAATTGGGGTAGATGGACGATGTCAAGGAATGACCATGCATTGGTTCTGTTAAAACATTATGTGCCCTGAACACTAACTAGTTCTGATAACATTGGATTTGGTCAGCAATTCCCACCGTTTCTTCCCCTAAATGCTAAAATTGTTACTGTCTCATTTAATTAGTATGTGGTGGTTTCTCTCAGCTGATGCTTCTCCTAGGCAGTTCCATTAAAGGTTATGGGGCACTTAACATAACAGTAAAGATATAACTGAGTAGCTTGTTACATGCCTCTGCTGCTCTCTCTCTCTCCCTAAAACATCGGTTCCTTTTGCTTTGGAGCATATAATTGCATATCATCCATAGCATTGAGTACTTCCTGACTTCTTTTGGAATTAAACTTATGGCAGTGGTAAAGGTAAGCTTGTGACTTGGTTTTCACTCCAGTGTGAAAGTGTAACAGCGGGGGAATGTGACGATGTAGACTCCTTCCCTTCTGCTCTTGTGTGCAAAGGGCCATTAAAAGTAGTTCTTTTCTCCCAAGACAATGAAGTGGAGCAAGAAGACCTAGCTCAGTCCCTGAGCCTGGTGAAGGATGTGATTGGAGCCGTGGACAGCAAAGTGGCAAGTTATGAGAAGAAAGTGCGTCTCGGGGAGATTTACACCAAGACCGATAGCAAGTCGATCATGAGGATGAAAAGTGGGCAGATGTTTGCCAAGGAGGATCTGAAGCGGAAGAAGCTGGTGCGGGATGGGAGTGTGTTTCTGAAGAGTGCAACAGGAAGGTTGAAAGGTAAGACGACTTCCAATGTCTGTGTGCCTGGGGAGAACACAAAAAAGTCTAGATTCTTCTGGACTTCATCACCAGGTTTCTTCCTAGGAGAGCCATATCCAGACACCACCTGGTGCAATAGTAATATGTCACAAAAGCCATGTTTCGGGTGACTTTCAAAGTCCTATGAAATGTGGCAACAAGGAAAAGGTACACCCAGGAAAAATGATAAGTGCAAGTTTTAAAACATGAAGGACCAAATTAATACATGTAGCAGACTGTTGAGGAAGACATACTCCCCCACCCACAGAGAGGTGCTGAGTGCCCACTGAGGAGTTGGGGTCAGTGGCACAACTGTCTGAATCGAGGACTGTGAATCTGTAAGACTGAGAATTTATCACTCCCAAAAAGCCTTCTGAGACTTTAGAGAAGGGCAAGTCTAGCTTATTTCAACTAAATTCCTTATTGCTTTATGGTATCATTTTTCTCTAAAGCAAAATCGATCATTAAAGACAATTCATGCATTTGGTTTATGATTTCTCACCTTTCATCGGTCACCTACAATAACTTAAGGAAGTTAGGGGTTTCACACCATCTTACTTTTAGGAACATGATGAGTTTCATCAAACATTTACTGGACAGGCACACTGCCTGTGTGAGCTCTAACTTCCCAGCAGCTGCAGGTATTCCTGCCACAGTCCTGGACTCGGTGAGCTGAGGATACGGAACAGGCCATGGTCGCACTGTTGTCACAGGAACATGCTGATATTAGAAGGAATGTTTCCTTCCCCATCTCAGAGACGTAATGATGCTGCAGTAGATGTCTTCAGTCAGAGCACTCAGCTGCCCTCAGCATAGCCTTAGCATACTCAGGACAGTAGTACACAAGTCCCCTCCAGACAGCTGACTTCAGACTCCAGTGTGCTGGGTGCCAGAATAAAGAGGGAGGACAGACGGACGGACGGCCCTGGTGAATGAGGAGGAAGGTGTTGCTGGAGGTGGGAAAGCGTGGCATTGGGAGGGCCTGGAACCAGGGAAAGTTACATCTTCAGGACTCCCAGACAGACTTGGGAGAGTGACAGCAGAAGAGAAAATGAGACCCTGCTGGGTCCAGCTGCCAGAGGCGCCTGCCACACTGTGACCGTGAGGAGTTGTGCTCCATGCGACTAACAATGAAAGGATTTCATATGGAAAGGGGATGAATTAGGTGTTCTGTGGTTTCAGTGGGGTTTTTTGTTTTTGTTTTTGTTTTCAACACAACTGGAGGTAGTATAGAGTACATCGTAAGTGACAGAGGTGTTGGAAATGTTAGGCTATTTCGGAAAACACCAACACCTCCCCAGTGATGGAAGACATGAAAAGGAAGTGTGGGGTAATTTTTTAGAGTGTCCCTGGCCTCTGGTGTTTAGGATATCCTCTGATAACTTAAGGTGCTCCTGTCTTCCAACCCTCAAAGTTCTGTGGTGGTCTGAGAGCCCTAGCCCAGACACCACTTCAAAGAGCCCATCTTTCAAACAGGCTGGCAGTTCAGAAATACCTGTCCTTCTCAAGAGGGCTTAGATTTGCTAGAACTGCTGTTGCCTGGAACCAATACTTTATTCTTTTCCTTTACATGGCAGTTTATTCCCAAAATAAAAACGAATAGGTTCCAGCTGTTGGGATAAAGTTGTGGTCAAACCAATAGCAGAACAATAGGTTTCTGGCTTGAAATGCCTGCAGTGGGGAGAATGGGTTGGTATTTAGTCATTTTCACACCGCCGTGAACCCCGGCCAAGAACAGCCGGTACTGTATTGAACACCCTTGGAAGGGGTGGAATTGTTTTTTTCTCTGATCCATAACACTGATCATATGAACCTCAGGATCCAGCAAAGTTGAAACTTATGCTTTTGGACTTGTTGTTGGAAGACACCTGAACTACTTTAAAGTAAACTTTAAAAAAGTAACTTGTCAAAACTAATAATAGTGCATGGAAAATTACTGTTGTCTAGTCTGAAAATTTAGACCTCCCTTGCTTCTGTTTGCTGCATTTAGTTGTAGCAGAGGTTGAAGAAGGCAGGGCAGACTGCATAGATGAACCCAGTTCCCCAAGGAGCCATCGGCTCTGTTTTCCAGAGGGAAAGCATGTAAGCTTTCCCGGTGTAAGCATCGGCCTGGTGGTTCTGACCAGCTGGCTGGGAGATGTGTATTGTAGAGCATGTAGAGCAAACATGACCCTTTGTATGCCTAGAGGACCAGTCAGATCATGAGGTGATTTTTTTTTTTTTTTAAGTTCCTGGATCCAATTAAAGATATTGAATTGTTTGTTTTGTTCCATTTCGGTGATGACGATGGTGGTAGAACCTAGATCTGCTGGAATCTTAGGCACCGTACCACTGAAATAGACACCAGCCTGTTGGCTTTGTTTGTGTGTCATATTTTATATTCTGCAGTTTGTACTCAGCTTCACCATGATAATCCAGACAAAACATGGATTGTTTTGCCCTACATAGTTCTTAAATTAATTTCCTTCGCATAAGAAACAATAGGTATGATTTTTTTTTTTCCTTTTAATTTGGTTTTCTACGACAGGGTTTCTCTGTAGCTGTGGACCCTGTCCTGGAACTCACTCTTGTAGACCAGACTTCCAGACTTGGCCTTGAACTCACAGAGTTCTGTCTGCCTCTTTCTCTCAAGTACCCCAGTACTTGGCGTGTGCCACCACTACCTGGCCTCATTATGATATCTTAATACACACACGGTTGTTTACACTGCCTCTATCCCCTACTGGTCCCCATCTTGCCCCAGATAGTCCTTCTTCAGCTTTCATGTTGTATGTTACAAACAATTAAATTTATCTAACTTATGCCCCCCATTTCACTCTCTTGTTCCATGCACGGTTTTGTTTTGGTGGTGTGGAAGAGGACTGACTACCAACTATAAAAGCAGAATTCACTTCTGCCTATGAAGCTAGAGTATGTCTGTGCAAATGTCCTAGTTACTGTGATTAAAAACATTGACTAAAAGCAACAGTGGGGAGAGAGGAGTGTACTGGGCTTACACTTCCAGGTCACAGTCCATCATTGAAGTATATCAGGAGAGGAACAAATTAACACTAGATGCTTAGCTAGCTTTGTTACGTAGCCCAGGGACACCAGAAAATGGTATCACCCACAGTGGGCTGAAGCCTCCTACAGCAATTAATAATCAAAACATTTCCCCACAGACATGGCCTTGGGCCTCTTTGATCTAGCCAGTTCTTCACTGGAGGCTTTCTTCTTAAAAGACCCTAGGCTATATCAGGTTGACAGTTAAAGCTATCTAGAATGGGGTGGGGTAGGGTGGGGTTTTGTCTTAATCTTTTGCTTTAAAATGTCTCTGTCCTGTTTTGGGTGGCTAAAAGGTAAGAGAATCACAGGTAACCCAGGGTAGTCACAAACTCAGCTGAGGATCACCTTGAACTCCCCAAGCACTGGGATTACAGGTGTGTACTACCACACCCTATTTTATGCAGTGTTCATGTGGGGTATGGAGAAGGTGTCTGCTATATGTCCCTTCTGGGCACTTTCTGGCTGCTATTTCCCATTAATATAATAAGAAATTAGGAAAGACTACAAACACTGTGGACTGTGAGTGCAGCTCAGGGGGAGTCTTACCTAGCGTGCAGAGAACCCAGGGTTTGGTCTCCAATGGGGGTGGGAGGGTGGGGGGGCGGACACGCTGAAGAATATTTCATGGAATATGTTGGCAGAAGTTGCTTCCTATCTTAACATTGGTTGAAGTTCACCTTCATTCTTGAAAGTGTTTTATACTTAAAACTTTATCATACATAGTAATGGCTTAGTGGGATAGTCAGCTTTTCGGTGACTTTCTGTATGTGTGTATGAAGGCCTGAATTGAGATCTCCAGAACCAACACAAAAGCCAGATACAGTGACGCACACTGTAACCTGGGTGAGAGGGACAGCAAATAAAGACAGGAGGATCCCCAAAGCTCACTGACCAACCAGTCCAGCCAAAAATGGCAAGCCCCCAGCCAGGTTCAATAAAAGAACCCCTGTTTTAAAAAGCAAGGTGAAGAGAGTCTGGAGTGGTGGCTCAGAGGGTTAAGAGCACCAGCTGTCCTGGGTTCAATTCCCAGTGCCACATGGTGACTCATGGCCATCTATAATGAGATCTGGTGCCCTCTTCTGGCCTGCAGGCATACACGAAGACAAACACTGTATACATAATAAATAAATACATCTTGAAAAAAAATAGGTAAAGAAAAAAAATAAGGTTGGGAGAGTAGTAGAGGAAAATACCCAAAATCAACTCTGGAAGACAAAAGAGGTCATACACAATCTTGAGCACATGCATGCAAGCACATAACGCGCGCACACACACACACACACTCACTCACTCACTCTGCAGTACAGGATATATCTTTTCAGGACTGATCACTTAACCTTTTCTGAGGCAAGACTTATGGCAATGTGCCTAAAATACCTATAGGATAAAAAGCAACTATTTGCTTTGCCAGTAACATTGTGTGTTTGAATCCTCATTCCAGTGGGTCAAGTTATATCCCTCAAAACATCCTAGGAAGGTGAAGCTAAAAGTGACACATTTATTTACAGGGTGTAAATTACTCATTTCTCTATGTGCCAACATCATAAAGTAATTTATATATTTGTCCATTTTGGATCTGGGATGTAAGTGACAAATCTGGGGTTTCAGTATATTTAATACTATTGTTATTGTTGCTGAAAACAATATCTGAAGATTTGTAACATGCTCGATAGCATAGTTTACTAAAGACAACAAAATAAGTACAAACACTTTAAAGACAGAATGAAAGACATCTAAAAATCCATTGACCAGCTCTGAATCTTGCAGATTACAAAACGGTTGCAGGGGATGGGTGTGATCTCAGACAAAGTTGATACGCATTGCTGAACCAATTTTATAAACAGCTTCTCTCCTCTTTCCCATTTCTACTTTGCAGAGGTTCAAGCAGTTCTCCTCACTGACATTCTAGTTTTCCTTCAAGAAAAAGACCAGAAATATGTATTTGCATCCTTGGTAAGCTGAACTGTTACTCTGATCTGTTTGAAATAAGTCATATTCATACCCACTAGACTGGGTATAAAGCTTAACCAGCTAGCATTAATATAGCTATCATATAGCTGTAGCTGCCCACTGAAAACCATGTGACTCACAAAAGAGTCCTTGGAACAAATTCCTACATACCCTTGTGGTGTTTGTGTTGTTATTGTTGTTACTCCTTCCCAATGCAAAATTATTTTTATGTTCCTTCATACTCCCCCCTGAATGCCCTCAACACTTGATTGATGCTTTGATCACAATAGAAACCCACCTCTGGAGTTTCATCATGCAGAAAACATAGATAGGATTTTTTTTTTTTTTTTTTTTTTTTTTTTTTTTGCCATGATCCATTAATCTCCAGTGTGGAAATCTCTTGTTTAAATTTGAGTAAAATGATGAAATGCTTACCTGAAAGCTGTGGGGGTTTTGTGTATGTTTGTTTGCTTGTTTGTTTGTTTGTTTGTTTTGGAAAAGGGTTAAATTGACTTTATTTTGGTTTTAATAATGCATTTAAAACTATCTGAGCTTACCTTAAGTTAGAGTTGTCTTTCAAGAGTGAGTGTGCTGCATGCATGTCTTATGCTTTTGTTTGCCTCTCTCCTCTGTCCAGGACCATAAGTCAACTGTGATCTCCTTAAAGAAGCTGATTGTAAGAGAAGTGGCACATGAAGAAAAAGGTCTGTTCCTCATCAGTATGGGGGGTGAAGGATCCAGAGATGGTGGAGGTCCATGCCAGCTCCAGAGAGGAGCGGAATAGCTGGATTCATATCATACAGGATACAATCAACTCCCTGTAAGTGAGACACCAGGGTCTGCCTAGTACCTCTGTGTGACGTACACAGGGCAGTGACCACATAACTGACATCTTAGGCATTTTGTTTGTTTGTTTCATCTTGTTTTATTTTGGTTATGTTAGGAACAGAGATGAAGATGAAGGGATTCCTAGTGAGAATGAAGAAGAAAAGAAATTGTTGGATATGAAAGCCCGGGAGTTAAAAGGTAAAATGTTGGAAATGGTCTTTATCATCTGCAGCTAGCCAGTCTTTTCATGAACCCTGAGCTGTCTCAGTCAGCTCAACTACAAAAACAGATACCTTCCAAAAAGAGAATGGCAATAAGTCTAGAGGGGGCTGGACAGATAGCTCAGCATTTAAAAGCACTGACTGCTCTTCCAGAGGATCCGGGTTCAATTCAGGAACCGGTCTATAACTCCAGTTTCAGGAGATATGGTGCCTTTTTCTGGCCTCTGTAGGCACTGGGCATGTTTGTGATACATACATACATGCAATCCCTATACTAATAAAAATAAACAGTATAAGTAAATATAAATATTAAATAAATAGCATAGCACTAGGGAATATGGATTCTCTGATCTTGATGTTTGTTCTTAGACAGTGATGACTTTGTTTATAGCTTGTCATAGAGAATTTGCCATATTCCATAGTGGTGTCTAAGTTAATAAGTCAGTGACATTTATAGCACTCCCTGTGAGGCTCTGGGAACATGGTGGAAGAAGTAGGAAGAAGGCAAGAGCTTCAGGAGAGGGAGAAAGACCCTGAATGCTGTCTTCAGGGCGTGGCACTGTGCCTAGGGTCAAGACCGGCAGCTATGGCTGCTCCCTGCTGGATTTGGGAGGAAGGGCAGTAAGGTCTTAAGTCCTCATTGAGGAAGCTCATTCAGCTCCAATGAATAGTTCGAAGCCCATGTTCATGCAGATGAACCTGGTGAAACTATTTGCATCTCAAAAAAATAAAAATAAAAAACGTCATGAATGTAGGAAAACTACTTGGAATTGAATACTAAGGGTAGGAAAGAAATTAGGGTAATGCACTTTATACATTTATTAAAGAAACAGACAAAAACTAGTCAACTGAATGTAGTGATGGGATAGAGTTGTGTCCAAAATGCTAATGTTTGCAGAAAGAACCCAGGGCAGTTTGAGACTGCAGGAGCATGGGAGCCATTTCCTCCCTTGGGTCTTTCAATAGCCACCACTAGGTGGTGCTCATCTCTCAGTCATCTTGTGATCCCCAGCTCCCGACAAGTCACATGGTTTCTCTGTTTGCCCTGCAGAACAACTTCAACAGAAGGACCAGCAGATCCTCCTCTTGCTGGAAGAGAAGGAGATGATTTTCCGGGACATGACTGAGTGCAGCACTCCCTTGCCAGAGGATGGCTCGCCAACCCACAGCCCAAGAGTCCTCTTCCGATCCAACACAGAGGAGGCTCTCAAAGGAGGACCATTGATGAAAAGTGCAATAAGTGAAGGTAATTTACACACAGCATCGGCCCCTCCATATCCTGTCCCAGAGAGAGTTACACACCTATGTCCCATACCAGTGCCTGCTGTTACTGTAAAACAAAACACCAGTATAAAAAATTTCCCAATATTACTATAGTTAAATTGTCAGATAAACATCCCTAACAGTCACTACCCAAGCTAAGAAATCAATGTGGTAGACACCATGAAAGCCTTTGCATGTCCCCATCACACCTAACTTCCTCCTAACTGCCCTAATCTGTATCAATAATCACTTAAATGCTTTCCCTTCTTTTTAATATTTAAAGTTACATTGGTATATACATTTACTGTATATATGCATGTATATGGGCATACACATCCCATGATTTGTATATGAAGTTAAGAGAGCAACTAGGGGAGTCTGGGACTGCCATGAAGGTCCCAACGATCAAACTCAAGACATGGCTCCGTGAATGCATTTACCTGCTATCTTAGTGAGGGTTACTGTTTGCTGTGATGAAACACCATAACCAAAAGCAAATTGGAAAGGAGAGGGTTTATTTGTCTTACATGTCCATATTGTAGTCCGTTATTGAAGGAAATCAAGACAGGGACTCACACAGAGCAGGAGCTAATAATGCAGAGGCCATGGAGGGCTGCTGCTTATAGGCTTGCTCACTGCCCAATCTTACAGAGACACTTTCTCCCCATTCCTGTTGTGCAGTTCATCTGAGCCTTATGAACCACTGGTTGGACTTTTCCATATGGCACTCTGTCTGTGGGTCTGCTGATCACATCTGGCTTCAGAAGCTAAATTTGTCAGACTTGATGGATTCATAAGATGTATACCTGTGGTGTTGAATGCTTTCATCGGGAAGCATCAGGCCTGCGTTAATTCTTTTTCTGTGATAAAAGGATGAATCCTGGAGGGGAAGGGCTTTTTCCTTTATGTGCCCATTTTCAAAACAACTGGTCTGTGTGAATCCTCTGGTAGGACTTGTACTGTTTTGTACACATTGTTATGAGGCTGCAGTCGTAGCTCAGGGGTAGAGCTCTGCAGGCATGAGGGGCCTTTTGTTCAGTACCCAGCACCAAAATGAGCTGGGTACTAACCCAGTTCTAGAATGATGAACAGTTCTCAACTTCATGTAAAGCCCAGTGTTGCCCACTTGACCTTAGTGTTCCTGTCGCACAGTACAGAGTTTGCTTGCTGGAGTTAAGCTGTTCTTGGTTGTTTGCTGATACCTTCATTCCTTTCAGAACTCTGGTCTCCTTTAGTGGAGAAGTATTTTAAGGTCATTAGTTAGGTAATCTTTGCTGTGAGATTTTTAGTCATCACTATGTTGTTCTTTTCAGTGGCAGAGCTAGAGAGGGGCTTCAATAAATTCCCTCCGGTGTAACTAATCAAATTGTGAATTACAGGTTGCCTTTTTTATAACCGAATCACTTACACATGTCTGTGTCCTTTCCACATATGGGTATTCCTTCTCAAGGATATATTGTGGAATTAGAATATCTTCTAGTGGGTCAGTAATTTAGGTAAAGGCATCTGATGCAAAGCCTGATTATCTGAGTTTGATTCCTAGAACCTACATAATGAAAATAAAGAATCAACTCCTGCAAGTTATACTCCGGCCTCCACACTCTGCCTTCCGTCTCCCACAGGCATGGGCCACCACACACACAACACACACACAGAGAATAATGTTTTTAGTTAAAAATACATTAAACCACATCCTATATTAATATCTTAATCCTGCTTTAAAACTAGTACTTGTATAATAATACTGTTATTCGTACCAGTACAGTTTCACATACAAGGCTGTCTCCATCCTCCATTCCTTCATAAGCAGCTGACTGTGTCTACACTTCTAGTCTGTAACCACTCACATGCACTCTGCTCCTAGATTGACCTGTAGTATTGGCTAAGCCCATGCTTGGAGAACCCATCCTTAGCCAGTGTCCTCAAGCCCATCAGAATCGTATTTCTGACATCTTTATCAATTCATGCACTTTCTACTTGAAAATACCTTCTAGACATGAAACCTTTGGCTCACATTTTCTTATCTGAATATGTTAATTGTTCTCATTTTCCATCATTCTTAGAGAGTAGTAACAATTTGATTTCTCCATATAAGTCACATGTTCTTTGCCTAGGTATCAAAAGGATGTTTTTTACGTCTAAATATTTTTACAGGGCATGCAATATGGTTGGTGGTTGCATGACTCACCGTCTGTTTAATAACGTGGTTAAAAATATTTTCGATTTCAGAAAAATATCCTTGAGTTGCAACCATTTGTATTTCCTCTGTTCTCTGACTTTGGTTTTCTTCTTCCAGCCATATCTTACCTAGTGTCAAACATTTGTCGCTTTTAATAATCCTTTGCCCAAGCATCTTCTTTGGGTCACATTGCTCTTATATGTAAGTCCCTCTTTACTCTCTGTGATTATTTTTCCTGCCTGTTCAGAGTTTCACTTGTTCTACTTTTCTAGGTTTTTCAGCTAAGGCCTTGTTGTGGAGACCATGCTGGCCTCAACCTGCATTGTGCAGTGCAGCCTGGTCGCTTGAGTCTACTTTGTTTTTTCTACAGATGACTGAAGTTCTTTTGTGTTTCCACACCATTTTCTCAGTGTGTTTATCTCGCTTGTTTAATGGGAACATCTTTCTGTTGTGTGCTAATTACCCATACGAACTTACATTCTTGTTTTCTGTCTCTTTTCTTTGTATGGGATTGACTTATGTATTTTTTTTTTTTTACTTGCTCATTTTTTTTTCCATGAAATTTTTACTTTGAAATAATGTTTCTTGCTTGGTTTTGTGGCAGACTCCTTTAATCCCAAGCATTTAGGAGACAGAGGCAGAACTCTATGAGTTCAATGTCTGCCTGGTCTACATAGTAAGACCCTTTCTTAAAAAAAAAAGGAAAAAATGTTTAATTATATTTTTCTGGGGTTTTTTTGTTTGGTTGGTTTTGTTTTGTTTGTTTTGCCTTATTAAAAACTTGGTGGTTGTTAAGAGATTTTGTTTCTGCCTCTGATTCTATTTGGACCTTCTTTCTCACTCGCCCCAGTTCCTCTCCCATTCCTTCCTCTCCTTCAGTGTCTTTCCCCACAGGCCCTGCCCTAGGGAAGACCTCCAGTTAACAGTTAATGTTAGATTGGAAGATCTAGATGCTTAGGCTGCTCTGGCCCCTGGCACCCACCTGCTCCTAATAGATTTAATTCCCATTCTCAAACTGGACCTTTCTGTTGCCTTTCTAGAAACCATACTCCTCCCAGTTGATTACTCTGCCTTCTGTTCCCTTACAGATTTTTCAGGCCTATGGAAGGAAGGGTAAAATTTGTGGTGACCCAAGAAGACCCTCTAAACATGAAATTTTGCCTATTCTTTGGGCCATGACATTTTTTTCCTCTTAATGAAAGATAATCACCTGAGTGTTTTGTTTGCTTTTTTTTTTCCCAGTGGAAATCCTCCAGGGTTTGGTGAGTGGAACCCTTGGTGGCACACTTGGACAGCCCATCAGCAGCCCTGTTGAGCAGGAAGTCATGGCTGGTCCCATTTCCTTGCCCCGGAGAGCAGAGACCTTTGGAGGATTTGACTGTCATCAGATGAATGCTTCCAAAGGTGATCCATCCATTATTCCTTTGCATCTCACAGTGACCTGGATTCTGGTAGCTCTGCCTCCTCTGTCCCTTCATCAATAAATGTCTTCATGAGAGTTTCAAGCACTCAAGAATTCCCGTGAGAATTGTGTTCATTGGGAAAAATAAGCTTTTTTTTCTGTTATTTAGCTGAGCTAATATAGCCAGAGGCCTTTGAGCATCTCTAATGTGAAAAGCTGATATCCAAACTGCTGCATAGTTCAAAACTTCCTGACATGTCACACTGCAAACTCCACACTTGAAAAGTTGCACTGAGAACACAAGCATGCATGCCCAAAACATTGTATACCATCACCTCCAGGTGTGGGCAAAAGTGCCTGGGAGATATTCAGTGATTCTGTGTCTGTACAAGAATCCCATCTTCCAAGCATCTTATTACTACATGTATCTGAAAATCTGAAGCTCAAACTCTTCTGGTCCCAAGCATCAAACAAGGGGATGCTAAGCTGTGTTTGGGTTTTGTTTTGTTCTGTTTGGGTTTCATTTTCTTGCTTCTCCATTAGGGAAGCTGTGTCAAGTGGCCAAGTGCCACTGAGTGGCTTCCTGGCCTATTTTTATTTTGGACATTAATAGGATTCAGAACTATTAATACCCCTAAACTACCTATATTGTTTTCATCTGTCTGTGTTTTATTTAGGAGGTGAGAAAGAAGAGGGTGATGACGGCCAAGATCTTAGGAGAACAGAATCGGATAGTGGTCTGAAAAAGGTAGGATTTTCTAGAAAAACACTCATATCTGTACACCACTTGGCACCTACTTGGACTTCATTACCCTTTTGAAGTATCTTTCTGTGATCTGGCTCAGCAATCAGTTTGCCACTAGTCATGAAATTTCATTTCTTGGGGAAGCTCATCCTGAGAGCAAAGCACACAGTCAAGCGGCCCGTATTGTTGGTGTCTGGGCTGAGAGTCCTCATTACAAATCCAGTTCTGCTGTGCTCTCCAGTGTCATTTAACAGTCTCCTTGGTGCTCCTGATCCTGCTCCGCGGGGTTTATTTTAGTAAAATTTATTTCAACTTCTTCTCCTCACACCTTCCAGGGAGATGCTATGGTAAAAAGAAAGGAAAGCCAGAAGTACAGGGTAACTTATTGAATATAGTTTCTACATCAAGATTTTTTTTTTTTTTTAAGAAACAAGGTGGCATATCCATTTTAATATTTAACAAAATAGACTTCAAAGGTGATAGGGAAGTACCTTACATATGTTTCAAAGGAAAATTCCACCAAGATAGCATTTCAAGATTTTTGGTTTTTTTTTAATGTGATTTTGTTGTTATTTTATAGGGTGGAAATGCTAACCTGGTATTTATGCTTAAAAGAAACAGTGAGGTAAGGATTCTATGAACTATATAGGATATTTATTGGGTTACAAATGTTCTTGCTTTGCTATGACAAGTATCTTGTGGCTTCAATGTTCTATAACTAAAGAATATAGCTGTGCATTTCCTTGGCTTAATCTCCTCACTCTCACCCCTCCACCACCCCCCCCCCCTCCACTGTCTCATTTGTTTTTCTGCGTGTAGGCCAGGCTGGCTACAAACTCACAGAGATCCATCTGCCTCTGCTTCCCGAGTGCTGGGACTAAAGGTGTGCGCCACCACAGCTATATAGCTTTGCCAGGGAGCACCTATTGATGCCTTCATTCTGGGCCCACAGAATTTGCAGCAGCTTTTCCTGGAATGTAAAGGATCCCAGTGGCCACAAGTCTAGAGTATGGGAGTTAAACTGTGACAAATTCTCCCTAATAACCTCTTAAGCATACTGAGTTTGCCTCTTTGAACCCATCTCTTTTCCTGCTAGGGAGCCTGATAGCCTTCCAATGGGAAACCAGACCCTGGGGATAGGCTGTCTGTCTGTTACTCCTTCCCTCCCTGGAGTGCTGCTGTCACTGGGCCCCACCCCTGAGGCCTGTTGGAATCAGTTTCAGGGTCACTGCTGTCTCCTAGACAAGTGCTCTTGCTGAGTCTTGCTTTTGTGTGTCCTATACACTTGAATCCATGCCTTTTTAGGTGTTTCTCAGGGCTGTTTCTTGGATTTCATTCTTCCTTGTTGTATTCATTATCTTAAACCCCTGGGAGTTTTGTTTTGAAATTTAAAACTACTTCCTCCTCTGCATTCCCCCTCAAAAAAATCCAGAGGATGTTGTTTTATGTTTGTTGGCAAAGGAGTTTGCTAAGGGACTCTCCCTGATGCAGCCAGGGCCTGCGTCCTGTAGGCTGATGATCTCTGTATCTGTCTCTTGAAATGAGCTGTCAGCTGATTATTGCCATTTGGCAAAGTCCCCCTGCATTCAGTGAGAAAGTCTGATGGGAAATAATGTGCCTGGCTTTCACCCTGGGACTACACAGCTGCAGTTGGCAGGCGTCTGCGCCTTCGGTTAAGACTCGGTGTGAGCACTAAGAAAGGACTAAGCTTGGTTCAAGTATTATAAAAAGAGAAATGTAAAGACTAGCAATATAAATCATCTGAATTTAAGCATGACCCATCACTGTAGAGTAGTAACTGTTAAGTGTCTGTGTCTGCCCTTTTCTCATCCATTGCATGGTCATGTGTGTGACCTTCCAGAGGTCTCTCAGTGCATCAGAGGCATCTTCTCAAGACACAGGAGCACAATGCCTGCTGCTGAACATGTGCATGTTCACCGCTTCTGTCAAGTCCTAGAGTTGGATCTTTCTGGTGGCTAATCCCTCTTCTACTTTTTTTCATGTTACACTTACTGCATGGCTCTTTGATTTTCCTCACCATATTACTATGGAAGGAGCTAGTGTCCAGCTGGGTATGTCCATCCTCATTTCACTTTCACCAGCATCGAACAGTACCATCTTTAAGTTGATGTTGTTGCCTTGATATTTCAAACAGCATTTCTTGATTTGTGCATGTGTATAGATGTGCTCTGTGGAGCTCAATTATTAAGCTGTACCTCTAGTCCCTAGATGCTTTTAAATGTTTTATATTGTTAGCTAATTTGTACTTCTGAAGTAGAATATTCCCTTATTTCCTCTTGTATTTTCTTCTAATTCTTTTATGATCTTTTTTCTTCTTTTTTATTTTATGTGTGTGGATACTTTATCCCCTTGTCTGTGAGTACTTGCAGTGCCTGCAGAGGCCAGAAGAGGTCAGTGTATCCCCAGAGACTGGAGTTACACAGTTGTGAGCTGCCATGTGGGTGTTCAGAATCAAACCCAGTACTCCTACCCACTGAGCCATCTCTATAGCCCTTATACTTGTAATTTATATGGGTTGTATTGTATTTTTCTCCAGTGTGTATGTGAACCAAGGTTTCTAACTTCAAGTTTTCAAGAAATGAAGACATTTCTCTTAGAAAAGTTAATTAAATATTTTTCCTTTGCCCTTGATTATTCATGAACTTAATGTAAATTTTCAGGGCATCCTTTTTTTTTTTTTAACTTTGAGGTGTACACTAACTTTATGTTAACCAGTTTTAAAGTGGAAGCTCTGTGTATACCTTTTAATAGATGTTTGCACATGCATGCACAGCCATATATCTTTACTCTTGGCTGCTTGCACTCAGTTACTCTCTTGGGTTCTTTCCATTTTAAAAGATTTCATTAAAATGCAATGTCTTGTTGTGCTCTGAAGATACTGTATCCATGTGATGTTCCTGAGAGTCAGCAAAACTGAAATGAATGTTTATCCCTTTGCCAGCAGGTTGTCCAGAGCATCGTTCACCTCCACGAACTCCTTAGCATGCTGCAGGTACACACATCACCTTTACATGTGTTCTTAACTTGCTTAGAAAACATAGCACAAAGATTTTGTTGACCTCAATCTTTGGGATGTATAAGTTACTTGTTGGTAAATAAGCCAAAGATTAGCTTCTGGTTAAGAATAGCTTCTGGTTAAGAAAATGAAGAAGACATTACAGCATGTGGTCCTTCCAAGAGCAGCTTGAAGAGCTGGTTAACTCTAGGACCTGCTTGATAGTATGGGACCTTCTCCAGAGGCTGTCTACCCTCAGGAAACTTTTCCTTATGTCTCTCTGGTATTTGTAAGGGTATCACTCTCATATTCTTTGGTACTTCCCAGGGACCACCCTCTTTTTCATCCCTTTCTTTCTTGAAGAGTTTACCTGTCTCCTTCCTACCTTCTCCCTCCTGCATAGCACACACACTCATCCCACCCCAAAGTACCACCAAGAATTCCAGAAAATGTATGACCATGGCCTGTGAGATGGCTCAACAAGCAAACCTGAGTTCAATCCTCAAGACCTACATAGTAGGACGGAACTGACTCCCACAGGTTGTCCTCTGACCTTCACATGCTCTCTTTGGTGCATGCATGCATGGACACACTGAATAAATTGGAATTATTTTTTTTATCTTAAAGAGAAAATAGATAACCAGGCTTGACAAAGTTGAGTTCCCACATCTTTGACACTGTTTGCAAACTGCCCAAAGTTGCCATGAAGCATGTTGTTATAAGACCAAACTTAAAACATGAGAGGGACTTCATTCTGTCCCAGTACCCTAGTGTGGGGTCAGGGAAGGATCCCTGCCTGTGGCTTTTCTCCTGGGCCTGAGTTGTACAATTGTTCTCTATGCCATGACAGGGTGTCGTGCTACAACAAGATAGCTACATTGAGGACCAGAAGCTGGTGCTGACCGAGAAGGTACTCACAAGGAGTGCGTCCCGCCCCAGCTCTCTGATTGAGCAGGAGAAGCAGCGGAGCCTGGAGAAGCAGCGCCAGGACCTGGCCAACCTTCAGAAGCAGCAGGCACAGCACCTGGAGGAAAAGCGCAGGCGTGAGCGAGAGTGGGAGGCCCGGGACCAGGAGCTAAGAGAGCGAGAGGCCAAGCTGGCCGAGAGGGAGGAGGCAGTCCGCCGTAGACAGCAGGACTTGGAGAGGGACCGTGAAGAGCTCCAGCAGAAGAAGGGCACTTACCAGTGTGATTTGGAGAGACTACGGGCTGCCCAGAAGCAGCTGGAAAGAGAACAGGAGCAACTGAAGCGGGACACAGAGCGGCTCAGCCAGAGGCAGATGGACCAGGACTTCTGCCAGGTACCTAAGAGCCTGTGCCAGGCCTGTAGATAGGAAGGAAGGGGCATCGGACTGTGACGACCAGGCAGTGACTGAGAGTGATGGTAGGAGCCACGTGGAAGTGAACAGAGGAGACATTCGTGTTGTACGGCAGCTTTGCTTTACCCTGAACAAGGGGAGGAAGTGGGCCTCACTCAATGAGACTGAAGAGGGGGCAGAGATACTGAGACTGTAGCACAGAGAAGTCAGTGGGTCCTTCAAACTAGCAAGCACTTTCCTCAACCACCAGCCTGGACCAGAGTAGCTTCAGCATGTCTGCAAGAGTAGCTGTTAGCCCTTGCCCCGTAGCACATGGTAAACCACGCGTGTGTCCCCACAAATAGCAAGCTTACCAAAGGTAAAGGAGCCCATAGGACCTACGGGCCTGCCTGTGGTCATGAGACAGTAGCAGTTAGCTCTGCTACAAGATAAAGAACCTGTTGAGAGGATCAGGGGGTCAGAGACAGAGGGGGAAGCCCAGCAAGTGATAGAAGGTAGTCATCTCCTGTGCGCAGGTGATGTCTGGGCAGGGATGTTCAGACAGCCCCACTCAGCATAATGCCTCGTTTGGCTTGATCGTCTTCCCTGCTCTTGTTTCTCAGTAGCTGGTGTAGGAAGGCTTTCTGTCATTCAACATGCTGAGTGTGATGTTACTGTGGTGAGATCATCTGTAATTGCCTTAGAACATGGACACTGGAGACAGAGAGATAGTTTGGCAGTGTATACATCTCCCTGTCTTTTAAAACTGTTGTCATATTGACATTTAAATGACCTTGGACCATGAAAGGAAACTGAAGCGATGTCTCCAGAGTCCGGCAGTACTGCTTTTTCAGAAGAGCTTCTCAAATACACAGCAGGGAGCAGCCAGTGGTTCTTTCTGTTGCTTTCTCTAGCAGAAGGGTAGATCTACTCACATCTCAATAAAACCAGCAGAATTTTGACAAGGGAGGGTCGGTTCCCAGGCTACAGAAAACACAGATGGGATGATGCTCTTCTGTTAACACTCTAGCCTGGCCAGGTTCATAAACACTGCCCCGAAGTGATGTCTGCGCTCAAGTGTAAGTCAGTCTTCAGATGAGCAGCAAGCCTGTTTCTTCAGGGCATGGGAGTTCTTTTCTAAGTTGCCTCATCAAAGATGAGACTTGGACGTGATGGTTTTAACATGCTCATAGATAGTACTTGGGAAGGAGCAGTAACATGAAGTCCTGTTTACAGTTCTTTAGAGTGTGGCCACCAAGGTGCAGATGGCTTCCAGTTTTAAATGCCTTCTTTGAACACATGCAGGTCTCGAATAAACACGGCAGGCTGATGCGAGTCCCGTCCTTCCTGCCCAATCCGGATGAGTTCTCCTTGCCTTCTGCACCTTCCATAACCAAATCGGGGTCATTGGACTCAGAACTTTCAGTATCTCCTAAAAGGAACAGCATCTCTCGGACACACAAAGATAAGGGGCCTTTTCATATACTGAGTTCAACGGGCCAGACGAAAGTTCCAGAGGGGCAGAGCCAGGCCCCCGCCCAGCACCTCCACTTCCACCCGCCTTTTTGGGTTAGCTAAGCCAAAGGAAAAGAAGGAGAAGAAAAGGAAGGGCAAAGGAAGCCGCTCTCAGCCTGGTGGTGAGTTACCCACACTACACTGCTCCCTGTGGCCATGGCATCCGCAGCCTACAAGAGAGGATAGTGATGGGGGTTGGGGAACATTTCAGATGTACAAAAGCCAAGCCCGCCCTTGCCCACCAGTCCCACCTGCTAAGAACACTTGTTGGGGGGCTATAGATATGACCCAGTTGATAAAATGCTTGCCTTTCAAACATGAGGAGCTGAATTCTATCCTCCAGAGATGGGAGGCAGAGGCAAGAGAATCTCTGGAACATACCCACAAGCTCGAGTAGTCAAGAGTAGTGAGCTCCAGGTTCAGTGAGATACCGGTCTCCAAACTAACAAAGTAACAGTAAGCCTCTGGCATCCGTGCACATAGAGACACATGAAAAGAAAGCCTGTGCAGGGACTGGAGCAGTAGCTTTGAGGCTGGAGTCACAGCCCTTGCAGAGAGCTCAGGCTCAGTTCCCCACACCCACACAGCAGCTCACACTACATCTAACTCCAATTTCAGGGGATCTGGCGCCCTCTTCTGGCCACTATGGGCTGAATGCATGCATGAATCTGTTGTACATGCAACACGCATAATCTGTTTCAGAAAGAATGCTTGTGCAATGAGCATCCAAGACCTTTTTCTGGGCCTCCTGTGTATGTGGAGTACAGGTTTAGTTTCTCAAGTGTCCTCCCAGTTGAGGAACTCACCTAAATGAAGTCATCCAAGCCCTCACTATCTTGCTAGGTTTGTGCTAGTGCCCAGTACAGTAGTAAGGTTGGGTGTGTAAGGCAGGTCATATATACTCATTTCCCTGGGAGAAGGTAGGAACTGGAGCTGAGAGGTTCACAAGCAGTGCTCACAGAGCCTGCCTGTTGTATCCCACATTTTCCTGAATCCTTTGCTATGTCTGCCTTCACATTAAGACTAAACTGTTGCTTCTGCATGAGATAATACATTTCTAGGCCCGTTTACAAACATGAACAGCAGTGCTGGGTGAAAGTTCATAACTTTCTAATCAGTATGCGCCCAGAACCCCAGTCACCTGTCACACACAGCAACTTGACAGGACAGGAGGTGACATCAAAAGGCTCATGGGTTCACTCTTGGTTTCACGGTTGCAGATGGTCCTGCTTCGGAAGTAACAACAGAGGGTGAAGAGATCTTCTGTTGACCGTCTCCTCTGCCAGGCAGCCACCGTCCTACCCTGACCTGATGGCAGTACTGCTGCGGCACTCCGGCGGCCCCTCGTGCACAAGTCTCCTACACTGGACGCCCGCTACCCCTCAGCGTCCAGTCGTCCTGAGCTACCCCAGGTGCTGGACAAGAAAGCGCGACACCTGCATGTCGGGGTGGGGAAAGGACACCTGAGCCGTGATCTGTGACTGCCCAGGATTTGGGTGGGCCTGGCCTTACTCAGGGTATTACACCGAAAGTAGTGACCCCAGAAGTAGGTGATAGCTTAAGACACGTCAGGATTCCATCAAGGCTCAAAGAGGTTTTCCAAATGCAACCAGAATCAAAGAGCAGATAGTGTAGCCTTCGTCTGTGTACACAGCCTTCCTTCCAATCAGGATAGCTTGGGCCAAGGGCAAGCCCATGCCTGGCTGGTGGTGTGCAGGTATACAGTGTTTCACCCTGTGGTCCTGAGAGTGGGTCCCTTGAGACGGCCCCTGTACACACACCACCCCCTTCATATGTCTTCCTCATTTTATTGTAGGAAGAACAACAGTGTGTGAAGTCAGCGAGAGGCCTGATGTGTAGGGAAAGCACGTAGTCTGCACCACTTGATCTCCATACACTAGGCTGAACTGTCTGTCTCACTTCACATTCAGATCAGGAAGAAACATACTGTTGTCCCGGGTGCCCATCTAAATGCTCTGGGCACAGAGGAAATAGACAGAACTCTTCTCCACTGTCCCCAGTATGACACCTTCTAGTTGTTACTGGACTCCCTGTGGGTGCTCTCAAGCCACCTGTGTGGTCTAGACTGTCCCGAGGCCTCTCCATGCCCTGCTCTAGGGTTACTGGTTCAGGTGCAGCAGTAAAGTCTGGTTGGTGGTTTCACCAATACAGACAGGGGAGCTGGCCCTGGAGTGTGTCTGGCCGGCTTCTCCAGTCACTTCCTGTCACACGGCCTCCTCCTCACATACGGTTTTCAGATGCAGTTTGCTTGGTTGTGCTCTTACCCTTAAAGCTGTCAAGTGCCGCCTATCTCTCTTCTCACCCTCCATCTCCACGTGTTGATCTAAGCGTGCTTGAGGCTCCCACGAGCTTGTGTGTGCAGGACAGTTCATTGGTAATGTGCCCTCCAGGGCTCACGCACCTGTCCCTCAGGCTACTCCCCGCGAGGGCCGTGCTGAGGTCTGTGCTTCACACGTGGCCTTCAGTTCCTGGTTTTGCCCTCAGAAGCATGGGCCTTCGAGCACAGTTGTGCAAAAACAAACCTGTGTCTTGGTGCTTGATGGTGAGCTGCAAGCTGGACTTGCAGATACAGATATTTATCTTTCAGTTTACTTGAAAGAATTCTGATTTAAATTTTTTAGCCTAAATTTTGTTTTATTTATTTTGTGTTTGTGTTTTGTTTTTATTTTATTTTGAAAGCAAACCAGTACTGGCCCAACAGTTTGAACCACCTTTTCAGTACAGAGAATAAAGTGTGTGTCCCAAGTGCATGACGGTCCCAAGGGTCGAGATGGGAACTGTGCCCTTCCCTCCCCTGCTCATTTTTTTCATAAGGAATGTGTTCTTCCTTCTTTGGAGATGTTAAAACTTTGCCTCTTTTTGATGAAGCCGATTTGGCTCTTTAAAGTCTGATATTTTTTTCCCCTACTTCCTTCAAGAACCTTAGCAACAAGAAGTTAGCTGCTTCCTTCTCCAAGTCCAGATGGCTGTCACAGCAGAGCCTGCCATGCCTCAGATCCCCCACAGGGTGTGGCTGGTAGTGTTTGTCCCTGCCTCTGAATGCCCCTCAGGGAGGTGTACCCTTCTAGAGAGGAGCCAATCTGCTAGGAGGGAAAGGGCCTGACCACTGTCTAGAGGAGGCCAGTAACTGTTCTCCAGGGTCACTCTGACTACCCAGTGAGCCACCGTACACCCCTGTGAAGCTATTCCTGCCCTCAAGTGTCCTTTACTGCCAACTGGCTGTGTTGTGATTTGCTTGCTTTGGTTTTAAAAACCAATTTTACTTCTACCCACACTCCCCCCCCCCAAAAAAAAAAAAAAATGGTCAGCAACAGTTGGGAGAAGTTTATGTCAAAAGAAAGCCATTCTGAGTTCCCCTAAACTGTCCAGCTTCCTTCAGGAAGAGAGCCATTTGCCAAGAACTGTTTCACCTGCCCACACCATCTGGCCCCCTCAGAAGTCTGTCGCACTTTGGGAATTGCCGCTTGTGCTCTTGCTGAGGACCCTGAAGATTGCCATAGCTGGGCCCACAGCCTTGTGTGGGATTCTCAAAGAGAAGTGTACTTTTCTAGGGACCAGGATTGTGTCCTGTCCTTTTGCCCATGTTTCTACATCAAAGCTAAAGAAATCACTGCTTTGGGGGACAGGTGTAAATTGGCCCCAGCATTGTGGAATCTAGTGAACTTTCTAGAAGGTTGTATCTTCTCTCCAAAAATTAAAATCATCTCAGTAGTTGTCGTCCCATCTGGGTGACATGTGCACTTTAAATGACCTCTCCTCAGCTGTCTTCATTTTTGAGACAATCAAACCTGTTGACTGTTTTCTTAGAAGATGGAGAGGCTTGAGATAAAAGCATGCCAGCATGCCCCCAACCCCATGAGAGTCTCCTACAGGGAAGCCCTCAACAGGATTGATTTTTAAAGGTACGATCTGAATCTTGTGAGGGTTACACCACTAACACTGCCCTTGCTAGTCCCCCACATTGGTTTTCTTCGTAACTTCGTATTAGCAGTAAGCACACGTGTTGATCTCTTTGGGGTGATGTTAGTGTACACAGGCTTAGAAAGGACAGAACCTTGGTCAATAGGACAGAGCTTGCCCAGAGTTGCTCTCCATACAAGTCTTTGATGTTTCCTTCTGTCCCAGGGGCTCTCTTGCCAAGCCTTTTGGTATTTCATGGGGCTTGAGTTGACTCTGACCTGTGTGTGCCCAGAAGACAGTCCCTGAGAGTGGGCTTCCATGCCTGGACAGCTGAGCATGGGTGCCTTTGGGGGAAGCAATGACCCAGGCCATCCATCCCTACAGACACCAGGGGCACAGTGTGTTTGGCTTATTGTTTTCTCTAGTGTGGCCGGAACATTCCTAGTTAACCAGAGCTTTGGAGTCTGTTGCCTGCTGGCCAGGTTTAGAAATGCAAAATATTCTAATGCTGCCATAAAAGGGGGAGGGGTGGCAGCAAAGGCCTTTTCTTGCACTCCTGTGATTTAATTTGTCAAAAGATTGACAAGACAGGTCCTAAGTTACTTCTCCATCTCACTAAGGTGTAAGGTGGGTGCCCCCCACAAGTGTGCCCTGCTTCGAAACCAGGCAGGCGCCACTGCCACAGACCCCAGAGGGCCTCCGCAGGAAGCACCGAGCCTCTGCCTTAGACCCTCTAGCATCAGCTGCCCTGCCTTGGTTGCCTCCTGCTGGGATGTGTCTCAGGGTTCCTCCTGAGGCCTGGGCTCTACAGAAGGTGGGCAGGGTACACCTATACCTCTGTTCTTGTTAAGTCGTCTCCAAGTGCTGTATGAACATTTCTATACTAAGCCCTATTAAATAAAAAGTTGGGTTAAACCCAAGCGCTGTATAGTAATTTGTAATTATGTATAAAAGTGCAACAGTTTTGAACTGTAAAGATTTTCAATGTGTTTTCTGGAAATTTGCCACAACGTATTGGCTTTGTATTTTATTTATCATCCTTTGTAGTTACTGGCTTCAGACTCTTGTAAAGTCCCCCTCAGACCTTTCAAAAATAATAAATTTCCTTTGAAATCTTCATCTCTGCCGTGACATATTTGTGGTGAAGGAGTATTCACCTCCCCACCCAGTGCAAGGAGGAAGTCCAAACCACACTTAAATGAAATTACACAGTAAAGTTTACATGCTCTATCTCTGTTAACTTCTGCCAGATCACTCCTCTCAACCCAAGAAGCTACTGCAAAGCTAACGAGCAAGTCCTGTCCCCAGGGTTGCCAGGTAGAACTATGGCTGATGCACTCACTCACTCTCCCCAGCCCTGGCTTCCGACTGCTACCAGATCAGCAAAGAGGCCCTTCAGTTCCTCTGGACATTAGAAAACTGTACCACTTGTTATACAAAGGCCATGGGCAAAGCTACTTGGGATCCCAGCTCTGCCCACCTTTTTACCAACAAAAACAAAACAAAAAAACTGCCATGAACAGCTCCCACTCACATTTTTTAGCAAAATCATTTGTAACCTCAGCAATAGCTGCCCCGCCCCCTCAAGTCACTGGAATATGACCCCTTTCTGCCCTTGGTTGCCATTGTAGTTCAGCCCCTTCCCCCACTGGGCAGCAAGTTTGGCTATCAGTCCCACCTCAGTGGGTCAGGACATGCTTAGCCTGCAGAACAGCGGTTCCCATGGAGACCCTCACCTCCACTGTAGCTGGTCCTGTGCTTGAAACAGACTTATCTGGGAATCAAGACTGGGGGGTGGGGGGCACAACATGAGACAGAAAACAGTCATAAAGCACAGGGCCCTAAGAATCCTGGGTGGCCATTCTGTGTGCTGACCCCTCAAGGAAGCCATCATTCAGAAGACCTCTACCACAGCACAAACCTGATGGGCGAAAGTGGCCATCGATGTCCGGAAGGTCCCCATCCCAAAGGGCTGCCCGTGGCAAGTGTAGCCTGTTGTATTCTCTAATGGACCTGCAGTGAAGACTGACTAGAAAGCCAGTGTGACTGCCTCATATAGCCAGGCAGAAACCTAAGCCCGCAGAGGGGAAGTCCAAAGACTAAATACCCAGGGAAGAAAGTGTGCAGATGAGAAAGGCAGAGAGATGCGTCTGAACTAACTGAGCCTATTCCCAGGTACAACCCTAGGACCTGGAATCTACTTCTCAGTCCCAACTCTCCTGCCACTGCAAGGATGCCCCTGAGGCCTCAGAGTGGCAAGTGGCGACAGGAAGGCACCTGGGAGGGAGTGGTGAGTGCCCCAGATTAGAGGAGTGTGGGCCAGGCACTGCCTGCAGCAGGGTGGGATCTTTGCCAGCCAGCTCCCTGCTTTCCCAGATCCTCCGCCACCCCTGCTCCCTGGGTGTCCAAGTTACTGCTCCCTCGTCTGCTTTCATATGGTAATCAGCCCACAAAGCTGTGGTCTGGAAGCCGGGCTTCTCTGGGAGACTTCTTCCTGGGAACCATCTACCCAGCAGGGATCAGGGAGCTTCTTGAAACCCAGCTGAGAGCTAGACCTCCATTCTCACCATCGTCTCCTTTAAGCCCTCCTGAACTGCCCACCCTGCCCAGCCCCTGAATGGAGGGAGTGTGGCCTGGACCACCTCAAGCTGTGATCACAAGCTTTGCCTACATTCCTCCTATCCAAACGAGGAAGGTGCTCACCTGAGCCAGTGCTGCCAGCCCAGCAGATGGTGAGAAATTTGAGGGCCAGGCTGGTATGCCATTTTTTACACAAGCCCACCGAATGAGCAATGGGACACTACAGACTGGACCAGAGAAACAGGGCACAAACCAGCCCTAAGCTGCTGCCCTGGGTGGTATGTTGTGGGGTATTTTGATCTCACTCTGACACACCTGAGACTGCAATAACGTTGACTTTGAATCAGAGGGTGGGGCTAACGACTAGCTGATCAAAATTAGCCGTAAAGGTTTTGGAGAATTGAGGACTTGTAGAGTAGTACCGGAAGTAGTAAGGAGGAGCTTAGGAAGATTCTTGGTCCTTTTTGGATCAAGGAAGCAGAGAGGGAGGAGGTCCCTGGTTGCTTTTCTGCCACTTCTCTGGCCAATGGCTTCTTACCCCATCATCTGGTTCCTGACTTTTTATTGATAAAGCATATGGCATCCAATAAAGGGCACAAGATCAAGAGGCAGCAGCTGGCCCCCGAGTCACCTGAGTCACCACCATGACTGGGTTTCCCTTCCTCTCCCCAGGCCCTCGGCTCAAGTCTAGGTTTTTCCTGTTGCAGCCTCTCTACAGCATCCTCCAGCTGCTGTCCATCTCCAGCCCCAAATGCCACAGGAGTAAGCTGCCCACCGCCAGTCAGCTCATTCATTCAGGAGGCCCATGCCCTCACTTCCGACCATGCAGGCTCCTTCTGCATATCCCTGTGTCTGCTTTTCAGGCTCTCTTGCCCCATGGGTTGCTGGCTCCCCCTGGCTACTCCCCACGCCCATCCCAAGCTGCTGGTCTTGGATTCTATAAGAAAGCAGGCTGAGCAAAGTATAAGGAGCAAGCATCCTCCATGGCCTCTCTGTTTTGCTCCTACCTCCAGGTTCCTGCCATGACTGAGTTCCCATCCTGACTTCCTTCAGTGATGGATTATGATGTGGAAGTAGAAGCCAAATAAACCCTTTCTTCAAGTTGCTTTGGATATGGTTTTTCATCCTAACAGTAGAACCCATAGCGTGTGTGTGTGTGTGTGTGTGTGTGTGTGTATGTGTGTGTGTGTGTGTGTGTGTGTGTGTGTGTGATATGTGTATGGGGGTGGGGACGCACATCTGGCATGGAGTGCATGTGGATATCAGAGGACAACTGGAGTGAATTCTCTCCTCCTGCTTTACATAGGCCCCAGAGATTGAACTCTCAGGGCTTCAGGCTTGCAGGACAAGCACATGGACCCACTAAGCTACTCCCAACTCCCATTATTTTTGAGAAAACTTATCTATAAGTTGTTCAAACTGGTTTGAAACTCATTTTGTATCCCAGGCTGGCCTCAAACTCAAGTTAATGCCCCCCCCCTCCGCCTCAGCCTCCCAAGTGCTGGGGTTATGTGCAAGGATCACTAAGCCCAATCATTTTTTAGACAGTTTAAGCACTATGTGAGTCCATCATCCATTTCATGAAATGTCCAGAACCCCTAGCAAAATCACAGCCATGTTCAGTGTGGAAC